TAAAAAAAAAAAAAAAAAGAAAAAAATGTAAAATCAATCAATAAACTGTCAGTCCACCCCTCCCATTAACTCACCCCTTTGGATGCACAGGCTGTGAAAGCCCCGGGGTTATTTATTTATCGGTGTGGAAGGATAAAGCTGGACACCCCTGCCTCTCGTGGTTGGGATGCTCCTGCACCTTTCAAAGGCATTTTGTAAAAATAATGAGCATAGGGTGGATTCCTTCTGATCCTAACTCTGTTTTTGGGGGATGTGCACAGATGGGAGGAAGGCTGCGCAGCGTTGCAGCTGCAAACATTACTCAGTCCCACCAAAGCACGAGGGATCCATTCCAGGAAGGAGCTTCAAATCCCCAGGGATGTGAGGCTCAGCCCCGGATTTTTGGGTTTTGCTAGGCTTTGGCACCCCAGAGAAAACCTCATTGGATCTGAGAAGTCCCATTTATCAGGGCTTTGACCTGTTACAAAAATATTCCAGCCTTGATGTGTGTCCTGTGGGAGTCAATGTAAAAGGGTGGGAAAGGGGGAAGAGAGAGAGAGAAATGAAAAGTATGCTTGGAGAGGCTGAGAGCTGGACCTGGAGGATGGTTAAGGGAACAAGGAGGGGGGAAACACAACCACTTCCTTCACTTTCCCAAAACTTTACACATTTTCCTTCACCACTAACACTTGTCAGGAGCTGGAGCTTCGAAGTGACAGAAGGCAGGTTTAGATGGGATATTAGGAAGGCATTCTTGGCTGTGAGGGTGGGGAGGCCCTGGCACAGGTTGCTCAGAGAAGCTGTGGCTGCCCCTGGATCCCTGGGAGTGTCCAAGGCCAGGCTGGGCAGGGCTTGGAGCCACCTGGGATGGTGGAAGGTGTCCCTGCCCATGGCACTGGGATTAACTAGAGGATCCTTAAGGTTCCTTCCAACCCAAACCATTCCATGATTCCACAAGGTTCTGTGCTCATCCACCAGCACTCTGCTGCTTGGTCCCTGCTCCCAAGGACCCAGGAATCCATCAGGATGCTGCTCCATGGCAGACAGCCCCCTCCTCTCAGCAGTGGCTCTTCCCACCTCCAGCACCTACAAACAGTCCCCACGTCTGAGAAGAGCTCCCAGTCCCAAATCCTGCCCCCTCAGGCAACATGAGCTTCCCTGGGAGAAAAAAAATTGGGGAACAGCAATATTTTTCACAAACACTGACAAACAGACTCAACACCACCCTCCCAGCACTGCACATCCTTCCTCAGCCTCCCTGGAGGAGCAGCAGGACCACGAGCAGCTCAGAAACAGCTCATTAAAGGACTAAGAGCAAGAAGCTGTATTATTCCAAGATGGGATTTAATCTTCCTTATAAAGCAGTGCTAAATCCACACTCTCTTCCAGCTTGCAGGTACTCCCCTTCAGCCTCTGAACCGAAGGGTTAACCCAAAATCACAGCCCCTGTTTAGTCTAGGGTTTAGGAAGGGATCTGTGCCTAACTGATACCAGCTCAGCAGCGACCTTTAGGGTTAATTCAGAAAGCACATGTGGAACCAGACTGCCCCAGGCTATGGACTTCCCTTAACAGCCAGGAATAAATAATTGATTGAGGGGAAAAAAAAAAAATCATATCCAAAAGGCTGGGTGCTTGCTGCTGTGGGGACTGTGACCCTACAGTCCCCAGGTTTTGGGGCTGCTGGGGAGGGGGGAATCAGCAGGGTCAGCATCCCCTCAAGTGTTCCAGTGCCTCAGGAAGGAGAACAGGGCATCACCTCCTCTCTCCCCATCAGCCCACCCTGGAGGTGGTTCATCCCCCAGCAGAGGGGATGGAAACTGGCCCACAGAGCAATTTGCAGGCTTGGTACAACTCCCCCTGCCCTCTGCAGATGCCATTAGGCAAGTCAGTGTCTTCAGAGGAACCCCTTTGCCTCCCCAAAAATACCTGCTCAGCAAAGGGTTCTGGGAAAGGACCCACATCCCTGAAAACCTGGGATAAAGATCTTCTTACCCCTCTTGCCTGTGTGGTTACGTGCCCAGTGTGTTTCACACTGTCACCTGGCAAGAAAAGCTCTCCTATTTCATTTAAAAGGTAATTTTCCCACCTATAAACAGCCCAGCCCTCCAGGCTCGCTGTGAACTAAGGGCAAACCAGCCCACGGGACCTCCCCCATCGCTG